GGTCATCAGCGGCTTGTGAGCCGCTGATGACAGCTATTAATTTAAAGGGGACAGTCTGCTAAACAGTTATACTATAAGCTGATGGTCGCTAAAGCCATCAGCTTATAGTAGGACTGTAAATGCCAGGTCCGTATGGCATACTGACCTGGCCAGCTGGAAGCACTTTTGTAGGTCCGTATGCCATACGTCCTTGGCAGCGAAAGGGTTAAGGGCTTGTTCACACGACATCCGGATTGTGTGCGGACCAGAACCATACGCTCCTGCACCCAAAATGGCAAGTACCGTTCCCCTGGCAACCGCCAGACACGTCCATCGGATTGCCAGACAGAGAAGCGTGATTGGTCCCCCCAGAGAACACGCCTCCTCTTCTCTAGAGTCCAGTGGCGGCGCGTTTTACACCACGGCATCCCACGCTTTGCATTGCACTTGGTGATGTGCGGCTTGGATGCAGCTGCTCGGCCATGGAAACCCATTCCATGAAGCTCTCTACGCACTGTTGTTGTGCCAATCTGAAGGCCACATGGAGTTTGGAGGTCTGTAGCTATTGACTCTGCAGACAGTTGGCGACTTCTGCGCACTGTGCGCTTCAGCATGCGCTGACCCCGCTCTGTCATGTGACGTGGCCGACCACTTCCTGGCTGAGTTGCCGTTGTTCCCAGTTGCTTCCACTTTGTTATAATCCCAGTAACAGGCGACCACGGCGGAATATTTAGTAGCCGGGAAATGTCACGGAATACCTGAATCCAATGATATGGAGGGGGGGGGCAATACTATTGGTAATATAGCGCCCTCCTAAAACTCTCTAATGACTTGCTTACAGCTAAAAACAAAGGCCACTATTCCTTACTCTTGCTATTAGACCTCTCTGCTGCTTTTGACACCGTGGACCACCCGCTGCTCCTCAAACAACTCCACTCGCTTGGCCTACAAGACTCTGCTCTCTCATGGTTCTCCTCCTATCTAAGCACTCTTTTAGTGTCACCTACAAATCGACATCTTCCTCTGCTCTTCCTCTTCCTGTAGGGGTCCCCCAAGGCTGTCCTTGGACCCCTTCTCTTCTCTATCTACACCTCCTCTCTTGGTCGATTGATCACCTCTCATGGCTTCCAGTATCACCTCTATGCTGACGACACTTAAATCTACCTCTCCACTCCGCCACTCCCCGCGTCCATCTCCTTACGTATCACTAACTTACTAACTGACATATCCGTCTGGATGTCTCAACATTTCTTAAAGCTCAATCTATCAAAAACTGAGCTTATGGTATTCCCCCCCCCCCCCCCACTCCACCTTTGTCTCTAAGTATCACCCTAAACGTCCCCTCCGCTCAAGACCTCTTGCTCTCTAGCTCCCTTGTCAACTCCTCCAATGCTCGCAGACTTCACTAGAGTCTCTCCCATCCTCTGGAACTCTTTACTCCAACCTGTCCGTCTATCTCCCACCCTGACTGCCTTTAGGTGATCCCTTAAGACTCATCTCTTCAGGGAAGCCGATCCCACCTCAACCTGACCGCTCAACCATCACGTTCTCAAACAATTCATCCCCCACACAGCTCCCTCCTCATGTATCACTGGCCCCTCCCCTTTTAGATTGTAAGCCCTCAGGGGCAGGGCCCTCCTTACCATCTTGTCTTGAATTGTGTTGTACTTGTAATGTCTTCCTTATATTGTAAAGAGTTGCGCAAACTGTTGCCGCCATATACATCCTGTATAATAATATCTACTGGTGTGTGTACTTACAAGCAGCCCCGGCAGATAGATCACATAGCCACGCAGTGCTGAGTGACCTTTTATGTATAAACAGTCACTGCTGTCGGAGATGCCACCGCCCTGTATGTTTACCAGCAGACAGCGGCTCTACCACAGCGCCCTGCAATGCTGACTGCTCATTCACAACGGTAAATTTAGATAGGGGGTGGGGCTTAGTGCTGGCTGTACCTTTCCCCACAAAAATGCCCATGTTTTAGGCTTCAGATAATATAAAGCCTTTATTCTGCAATGGGGTTGCTGATCCGAACGGGTCCAAGTGCTATAGGCATTTGGTCCCCCGGTAGTTAAAATAAAAACTTAAAGGGTTATGAAATCCTCAGCGGTTTTTTTGTGTGTGTGCATATATATATATATATGGCTAGCAAGCTGTAGATATATGCAAAAACATTAGAAAAAAACAAAAACTTTTCATACAGGTCTAAACTTTCCTGTATCTTCGCCGCGCGCTCCCGTCCAAACATCTGAAGAGTCTCGGGCGGCTGCAAAGCATCTTGGGGCGGGCGCATGCGCAGTTCACATGTTCGGCCGGGAGACGGGGAGAGACGCAAGGTAAGTCTATGGGGCAGAGTGCACCCGCATGCTGACGCCTAGGTGTGAATGGGGACTTAATGGCACTTTAATATTTTTGGTGAGACTTCTTTAAAGTAACAAAAACACATCTCTTCATGCCGTCAATAACAACCGGAGGGAACCGCGGGCTTCGTATGCTCCATTGCCGAGGTGCGCACCCGGATCAGTTATATTCTGATTAATCGCTGTGAGATTCTTTTACGGAAGGAGGACGTTTGTATTTCCTGATTAGCAGATTGCAATTAAAAACGGTATTTGACCATCGTTGCCTGAAGCCTGTACTTTGCTGCAGAAATCAAGGTCAGGAGGATCAAACGGTAAATGAGATGCTGCAGCAGCTGGAATCTATGCCACACCGGAGTTCTACAACAACCTGAACTGCATTATAAAACAAGATCAAAGCCTTATTAAACCCATTACACAACATATGTTTCATCTGTACGCCGCACTTATATGCTGCAGATCCTCCTTTTCAGGGCAACGCATACTCTAGAACAGCGAACGCGAACCTATGGCACGCGTACCAAGGAGGGCACACAGAGGCCCCTCTGGTGGCACGCGAGCCTAGGCAGGGGTGACACATTTGTATCGGCTGACACTAGGGACATGGAGGTTGGTGAATGTTGAGCAGGGCACACCTTCTGGTCACCAGTGGAAGTACAACTATGGAGGTCAGTGAATGATGAGCAGGGCACACCTTCTGGTCACCAGTGGAAGTACAAGTATAGAGGTCAATGATGGTTCTGAGCAGAGGGCACCTTCTGGTCACCAGTGGAAGTACAAGTATAGAGGTCAATGATGGTTCTGAGCAGAGGGCACCTTCTGGTCACCAGTGGAAGTACAAGTATAGAGGTCAATGATGGTTCTGAGCAGAGGGCACCTTCTGGTCACCAGTGGAAGTACAAGTATAGAGGTCAATGATGGTTCTGAGCAGAGGGCACCTTCTGGTCACCAGTGGAAGTACAAGTATAGAGGTCAATGATGGTTCTGAGCAGAGGGCACCTTCTGGTCACCAGTGGAAGTACAAGTATAGAGGTCAATGATGGTTCTGAGCAGAGGGCACCTTCTGGTCACCAGTGGAAGTACAAGTATAGAGGTCAATGATGGTTCTGAGCAGAGGGCACCTTCTGGTCACCAGTGGAAGTACAAGTATAGAGGTCAATGATGGTTCTGAGCAGAGGGCACCTTCTGGTCACCAGTGGAAGTACAAGTATAGAGGTCAATGATGGTTCTGAGCAGAGGGCACCTTCTGGTCACCAGTGGAAGTACAAGTATAGAGGTCAATGATGGTTCTGAGCAGAGGGCACCTTCTGGTCACCAGTGGAAGTACAAGTATAGAGGTCAATGATGGTTCTGAGCAGAGGGCACCTTCTGGTCACCAGTGGAAGTACAAGTATAGAGGTCAATGATGGTTCTGAGCAGAGGGCACCTTCTGGTCACCAGTGGAAGTACAAGTATAGAGGTCAATGATGGTTCTGAGCAGAGGGCACCTTCTGGTCACCAGTGGAAGTACAAGTATAGAGGTCAATGATGGTTCTGAGCAGAGGGCACCTTCTGGTCACCAGTGGAAGTACAAGTATAGAGGTCAATGATGGTTCTGAGCAGAGGGCACCTTCTGGTCACCAGTGGAAGTACAAGTATGGAGGTCAATGAAGGTTCTGAGCAGAGCACACCTTCTGGTTACCAGTGGAAGTACAAGTATGGAGGTAAATGAAGGTTCTGAACAGGGCACACCTTCTGGTTACCAGTGGAAGTACAAGTATGGAGGTCAGTGGAGATTCTGAGCAGGGCACACCTGCTGGTCACCAGTGGAAGTACAAGTATAGAGGTCAATGATGGTTCTGAGCAGAGGGCACCTTCTGGTCACCAGTGGAAGTACAATTATGGAGGTCAATGAAGGTTCTGAGCAGAGGGCACCTTCTGGTCACCAGTGGAAGTACAAGTATGGAGGTCAATGAAGGTTCATAGCAGGGCACACCTTCTGGTCACCAGTGGAAGTACAAGTATGGAGGTCAATGAAGGTTCTCAGCAGGGCACAGCTACTGGTCACCAGTGGAAGTATGGAGGTTGTGCAATGTCTCAATGACAGTGTAAATGAGATGTTGGGGAACGTGTTCTCCCATTAAAGTGACATTAAACCCTCAGATTTTTTAACATAAAACAATACAGTAATGTGCGCCTTACTGTAATCCATGGTAGTTTCCCTTCTCTTTGCTGCTCTTCCTTTTAAAACTGTATCTGTTCTCATGCTTGGAGAGAACTTCCCTTTTCAGCTGACTGCCTTGTCAGACACGGTGTCTGTGTATCCGTTTGTATAGGCTGTAACCTGAGCCAGCACTACAGGAAGAGGCCCTGAGCTGAAAAGGGAAGTTCTCTCCAAGCATGAGAACAGATACAGTTTTAAAAGGAAGAGCAGCAAAGAGAAGGGAAACTACCATGGATTACAGTAAGGCGCACATTACAGTATTGGTTTATGTTAAAAAATCTGAGGGTTTAATGTCACTTTAATGATAACAGAGGGTTTCATAAAAAGTATCATTGTGGAGCACTGCCAGCCCACCTCCTGAGATCTGCCCAGCCCTGGTAAGAAATGTACCTCGATCTGTTTCACGCCTTCCTCCTTTCTGCGAATCTGCTCAAGATCCTCTTCGGTGATCTCTGACAAATCCTGGTCTTCACTCTGCTTCTGCCACTGTTCACCACCACCATTAAAAATCTTTTCATCATCCGCAATATCTGAAAACGGAGTACGGGGACTCTAAAGGGGAAGAGAGAAGAGGATATGACTTTAGACATTTGTATTATACCGCCATGTACACATTGAAGTCTATCTAAAATGTAGCAATAAACCTCTCGTGTTTTGTTCTTCTGTTCTATCAGTGCAACAAATAGCTGTTGATATTGCCAAAAATCCAGTGAGCTGATAACCTCCTGTACTGAGAACTCAACAGGGCTATCAATGCGGGACCACAAACCACCCGCCCCCATGTTATGGAGAGTAGGATGGGAGTTGTTTTGAAATCCTAGCACACTTCCTGTCCTAGGGTGACAACAATGTTCCTCCACAGATACAGAACAGTGAGTAAGCGTGGTCACCCTAGGACAGGACATGTGGTAGTGGCAGGATCACCAGGTACAAATAAAGAGAAAAAGTCTGAAAAAAAGATACAGCAACCACATCGAAGGACTAGTGACGTTCACGTATATAAAATGCCTGTTTTTGGGGTTTAGATATCCAAGCGTAACAATGTAAACAGAGTGTATTATCAGCACAGTGTATACTGAGGGGTGAGTGAGAGAGAAGCCAGCCAATTGTGTCTTAGAAGAAATTTGTATATTATTCCATTAGGTTTGAGATGTGTCTGGTTAATATAAATAAAGTAGTATTAGGTATGCCAGGAAAACCACACAATACGGCCAAACGTTTGTGGACACCTGCCCATAACATCTATATGAGGTTGTCAGATATCCCATTAAATATGGAGTTCCTACCATTCCATGGCCAATACTATGGAGTTCTCTCCTTTCCATGGCCAATAATATGGAGTTCCCCCACTTCCATGGCCAATAATATGGAGTTCCTACCATTCCATGGCCAATAATATGGAGTTCCCCCTTCCATGGCCAATAATATGGAGTTCCCCGACTTACATGGCCATTAATATGAAGTTCTCCACTTCCATGGCCAAAATTTGGAGTTCCCACCTTTCCATAGCCATTATTATAGAGTACCTCCTTTCCATGGCCAATAATATTGAGTTCTCTCCCTTCCATGGCCAATAATATGGAGTTCCCAGCATTCCATGGCCAATAATATGGAGTCCCCCCTCTTCTATGGCCAGTCATTTTGAGTTCATCCCCTTTCAAGGCCAAAAATATGGAGTTCACCCCCTTCCATGGCCAATAATATGGAGTTTACCCCCTTCTATGGCCAATAAAATGGAGTTCCGCCCCCTTCCATGTCCAATAATATGGAGTTTACCCCCTTCTATGGCCAATAAAATGGAGTTCCGCCCCCTTCCATGTCCAATAATATGGAGTTTACCCCCTTCTATGGCCAATAAAATGGAGTTCCGCCCCCTTCCATGTCCAATAATATGGAGTTCCCCCTTCCATGGGCCTTAATATGGAGTTCCCCCCTTCAATGGGCATTAACATGGGAGTTCCCCCCTTTCCATGGACAATAATATGGAGTTCTCCCCCTTCCATGTCCAATAATATGGAGTTTCCCCCCTTAAACGGCCAATAATATAGAGTACACCCCTTACACGGCCTATAATATGGAGTCACGCTCTCTCCCCATTAATATGGAGCTCGCTTCCCTTTTGCAGTCATAGCAGCCTCCACTCCTCTAAGAAGTATTCCCACAAGATTTTGGAGGTTGTACCTGTGGGAACGCATGCCTAGTCCAGCACAGGAGAACCGGGCGGAGCTGACAGCCCCGCTTTTGATTTCAGTGCAGCAGAGGCATTGTGTTGTCACCTCAAAACAGGAAGTTAGAAGCTCACTGGATTTCTGGCAGGATTCGGGTACGTTTTTCTGTAGCGCTTTTGTTAAAGGTGAGTAAATGTGCAATGTGCCGCAGAGACGTGCCGATTTGTTCTGAACATACACCTTTACACAACAATGATGGTCACACCATAGAGAACGTCAATCCTTCCAAAATGTGTTTTTATTGCTCGAGGAAAGAATAAAAACGTCCATTTTGAGGGAGCCGTAATGGAATGTTCATTTTTCCAGACGACAAAGGGAGCAGAAGAAGCGACTGGCAATGTGAATGCCATTGTACAACTGAGAACATTTAAGATAATTAAACAATTAAACCAGCGGGGACCTTTTAGCAGCTAATCCTCACAAAAAGCTTTATGCCGGGTTTAAACTGCAAGAGGAAAGCGCAGAGAATTGGATAAACAGAGGTGAGAACCCCCAAACCCAACACACAATGCAGCAGAGAAGGTGGGAATGGAGAGTATCTTACACAGCAGAAGGGCTTAGCGAGTCAGGTCCATCACTGGCGCCCCTCGGCTAATCACAGCCACCCCGTGCCACGTCTCAGGGGCAAGTCCCGAATACAGGGACGGCGCAAGGATTAAAGAGCGACTTAGTGGGGCAGGATGTGCTTTAAAGCTGATAAGGCATTAGAAACGTCCTTCAGGCTTCTAAAATAAAAAAGGCTCAAATGTTGTATTTAAAGCCCAACTCCAGTCAGATTAAACAGTACATGTACCAAACATGTACCCCAGGGGTAGACAACCTCGGCGTGTCTGGAACTACAAGTCCCACGAGGCATTGCAAGACTGTGACAGCAACAGGCATGACTTCCAGAGGCAGAGGTATGATGGGATTTAACCACCATTGGAGTGCCGTGGTTGCCTCCCTCTGATGTGCTCCATACTTCAAATGTGAAGCTTCTACAATGACACCTCCAACTTGTCCTTAAAGGGGCCGCAGGGGAGGCTTTTCCAGCTCTCAGAACCCGGCTGACTTTGCTCTGCCTATAGCGCGCGCATTCAGGATGTAACATCCTCAAAGTAGTTCCATAAGAGCCGTGCTGCCATCTTTCCTCATCAGTCTGGCCAGACCTAGGCCACCCAGGAAGAAACCAAGTGTGCTGACATACAGGAGAGAGAGAGGGGGAGGAAGAGATGAGAGAGAGAAAGAGAGAGGGTGGGGGAGAGAGGGATAGAGAAAAGGGGAGGGGGGAAGAGAGAGAGGGAAAGAGAAAAGGGACGGGAGGGGGGAAGAGAGAAAAGGGGAGGGGAGGGGGGAAGAGAGAGAGAAAGGGGGGAGAGAGAGAG